TCATGGACTGCCAGCACCCAGTGGGTACCGGTAAGCTGGCCAGCGGCGCAGCCGCATTCGGAGAGGGTTTTACCCGTTGACACGTCTCACACGTACGCACATAGGTGCTCGTCTATTTGTACAGCTGGAGCCACCATTAGTGGTGACGCAGAATTGTACATTTTCTCACGACCGAGATGACCACTGAGTGGCGTATCGTGAGCCTCATAGAGGATGCTAAATTTCAAAATCTCATCATGAAGAACCACAAGTCGTGGTGGATCCGTTGAATTGGTGCTATGATATAGCAAACGGTTATTCAACGAATTCGGTACAATCGTGCACGCAGTCTTGGTGGCAATTTTTTGTCCGAGTTTCCAAATTTCTTGCTCCCTAGAGCCTAGCAACGCTACACACATCTCATTACTCGCATAAGAAGTGCGGACTGAATCTATCACAGACGACGTTATAGTTGTAACATGAGCAAGCTCATAGTCTGGTCTGCGTGACAACGCTTCAGCCAAAGCATTCTGCTTTCCCGGCTTATACTTCACCTCAAGTTATATTTTGCAAAGAAAGATAGCCATCTAGTCATTCTCTGCGAGAGGTGGGGCGACTGAGTCGCAGTGCGTAGTTACGCCTGATCTGTATCGATCACAAACGGCTTAGAGCCGAGCACGTAGACCTGAACTTGACAAGTGCATACTTCATCGCAAGTAGCTCCTTGTCATGAACTGGGTAGTTCTTTTTTGCAACTTTGGGCTGTCGAGATTCGAACGCGATAACCCGATCTCGCCCCACGGCATCTGCTTGCAGCAGTGCACAGCCGATGGCAAAAGTCCGAAGCGTCAGAGACGACGCTGAAAGGACGATCAGGGTCTGACAGCGCCAGTATTGGTGCATGCAGGAGACTGTCTTTGACTTCGCCAAAAGCCTCCTGATGTTCGGTGTTCCATCACCATTCCGCATCCTTTTTTAGGAGGCTGGATAATGGCCTAGCAATTTCTGCGTCGCTTACGCTGTACTTGTGCAAGTAGTTGGCGAGACCAAGTCACTTACGCAAGTCCTTCTGTTTTTTTGAAATAAGCCAGTCTACAGTGGCCTTGACCTTAGCGGGATCCGTTCTAAGGCCACGCTTCCCAACAAAGCACTTTAAGATGGGTATCTCTTCTGCACCAAAGATACTCTAGTCTGCATTGGCGTACCGTTTGTTCGTACGTATGCACTCGAGCACAGCTCTTAAATGAACGATGTGGTTCTCCTCATCCGTCCTCCCGTGCTCCACACGACTGTGAACGAAAATGGCGTCAAAGTATGTATGTGCATACGCCTAGTGGGGCCCAAACAACTGCGTCGCGAGACGATTAAATGTTGCTGGTGCATTTGACAGCCTTTGGGGCATCACCAGCCACTTCCGGAGCATACCGCTCAGAGTGCGTACCTCTGTCAGCGGAATGTCGCTCGCTCTCATGAGCAATTAGTAGTATCCATCTACCAAATCGAGTGCACTGTACTTCGTACACACCACCATGTTGTTCTGAAGAACAACCTTTCTAAGAATTGGCGTTCGTGCCGA